TTCGTGTCCTGGACCTGGCAGCTTGCTTTCTCACTTTCTCTCTCTCTCTTTCACTCTGTCCCTCTCTGGTCAAATAAAATAAATAAATAAATGAAAAAAGTTTTAAAAATTCTTTAAAAATAAAAACAAGAAATTAAGTTTAACAAACTTAAATGACTAAAAGGCAAATTAGAGTAAGATACCACTTTTTTTTATTGTTTTTAAAGAATGATTATATTTAACTTTATTTATTTACTTTAATTTGACCATGGATGGGGAGAGAGAGGAAGAGAGAGGGAAAGTGAGAAAGCAAGCTGCCAGGTCTGGGACTCAAACCTTGGTCAGCCATGTGGGAGTCCAGCAACCTTAACCACCACGCCTTCTGCAGGACCCAAGATGCCACTTTTCATATTTGATAGGAAGTTTTTGGATTGGCAATATTGCATCTTAGATGAGGGCAAAGAAACAGGGTCCTTGCACTCACTGCTGGAGGAGGTATAAACTGGTATGGATTGAGGCACCTATTAAATGGTCAGTGTCCACACTCGCTAATCCAGCAATTTCACACCTGAATATTTCTCTTCCAAGGCAAAGGAGTACAAATACCAATCTGTATAGCAGTGCTCTCAGAAGGTGCTTGAAGCTAAGGACCAGCAGTTAGCGTAATGGCTATGTCACTGGACTCCCATGTAGTCGATTCTGGTTCGAGTCCCGGATCCAGTGGCTTAAATTTATGCCGGGCCTGCCCAAGATCCCGAGAGGAGAACGGAGGAGAAGGAATTGAGGCGTGGCCATCCCCCCTGGGGGGTGATTTCTCGCTTTTTATCTCTCTGTCTTTCTGGCAAGCCTTGCCCTAGAGCAAAAATCTCTCCAAAAAAAAAAAAAAAAGAAAGAAAAAAGAAGGTGCTTGAAGCTGAAAAATTAGCAACAACTTAAATACCTTTGAAAAATGAGGCCAAGGGGTTGGCAGGTGGAGGGGTGGTTAAGGGAACTGGATTCCACATGGCTGACGGTGGTTTGGATCCTCGACCTAGAGGCTTGCTTTCTCGCTTTCTCTCTCTCTTCTGTCTCTCTCTGGTCAAACTGAAATAATAATAACAAATGAAATTAAATAATTAGATGATTCTTTAAAAAAAAATGAGGCCAATAAACTAAGGGCACACCCATAAAATGAAATTCTGTGTCTTGTGGCCACTCTAAGGAACAACTAATACTGATAGGAAATGATGATTAGTAGATATTCAGTGAGAAAAGTTCTAGAACAGTATAATCTCATTTTGCTTCAAAAAATCCTATAGAGGTTACCAGCACATAATGTGGTGGTAAAGGTGCTGGACACTCCCACATGGCCAACCACGGTTCAAGTCCTGGACCTGGTGGTTTGCATTCTCATTTTCCCTCTTTCTCTCTCTCTGCCTATATCTCTCTCATGTCAAATTAAAATAAAATGAATAAATAAATAAAAGTAAATAAGTAACTCTTTAAAAAAAATCCTATAGGTGCAGGACTGGCAGGTGGTGTGGTGGTTTAGGGCGCTGGACACTCCCACATGGCCAACCTACCATGATTTGAGTACCTGGCCTGGTGGCTTGCCTTCTCTCTCTCTCTCTTTGTCCCTCTCTGGTCAAATAAAATAAATAAAGTTAAATCAGAATAATGCCTTTAAAAAAAAGCCCTATAGGTGCAAGTGGCCTTCACAAATCTCATGGAAAACGCATATTATGAAAAAAATCTTGGGGACCAGCAGTTAGCGTAATGGCTATACAGTTGAACACGGTTAGAATCCCGGACCCGGTGGGTGGCTTAAACTCACACTGGGCGAGTGTGCCCAAGATCCCCAGAGGAGAATGGAGGAGGAGGGATTGTGGTGTTGCCATCCCTCTGGTGAGTGATTTCTCGCTTTCTGTCTCTCTGTCTCTCTCTGTCTTTCTGGCAAGCGCACATGCCCTATAGCAAAAACCTCTCAAAAAAAATATCTATTCATGGATTTCATAATTTTTTGCACCACAATAAACCTGTAATTTTTTTCTTTTTCTTTTTTTTTTTTTAAGAGATTTTTGCTATAGGGCACGTGCACTCGCCAGACAGAGAGAGACAGAGAGACAGAAAACGGGAAATCACCCCGCCCCCGGGGTGGGGGATGGCTACGCCCACAATCCCTCCTCCTCCATTCTCCTCTCAGGATCTTGGGCATGCATGCACATGTGCCGGGAGTGAGTTTAAGCCACCGGGTCCAGAACCCGAACCGCAGTCAGCTACATGGGAGTTCAGCGACATAGCCATTATATTAACTGCTGGTCCCATAAACTTGTAATTTTTAAAAGAATTTTATTTAACTTGATTTATTTATTTATTTTAATTTGACCAGAGAGAGAGGGAAAGTGAGAAAGCAAGTCACCAGGTCCAGCACCCTTAATCACCACTCCACCTGCCCACCCCAATATAAACTTGCATTTTAATTCCATTTTTTCTGAAAATTTTAAGTCCATACATATAAACATAATCTAAAAACATAATACTAAAAAGAAAAAAGGAAGGGAGTAGGAAGAAAGTCCAATTGTTCAAGATGACTTCAGTGAAGTGGGGACGGGGAGCTGAGGGGCAGGGACTTCCACTTTTATTTATTTATTTAAATTATTTAAACATGAAATTTTTAGAAATAGAAATTAGAAATTTTTTAGAAGTAGTTTAAAATATAGAAAACTCCAGATTCTTTGCATAACAAGACGTTAAGGGTCATACTGCTTCTGCTAAATAAAGCACAGCTACAATCCTTCAGAGGACTCAGAAAAAATGGCTTCATGAGGGCCTGCATCCACGGACCACCCGTGTGTCCGCACTTTATTTAGTCTTTCAATCCCACCGCTTAGGTCTGGGAGGGAGGGAGACAGAGAAGGGAGGAGGGCGGTTGGAGTCCTGGGGTGGGCAGGCGGGGAGGCTGGGTTGAGGGACAGCGCAGTTTATTCCTTTATTCTGCTTTTGCAGGTAAGTGCTGAGCCCTCCCTAGAGGTGCCTGGCTCTCTGGGCAAGATTGATGGGTACGTACTCTTCACTTCTTCAACCTTAACAGTTATGATTTTTTTATGTTAAAATAAAATATGTTATATTTAAGAAATGCGATTCCCTAAAAGAAATGCCATTGAAAACAGAGTCAATTGCTATTGTATGGAACACCCTCGGAAAACTAAAGGAGAAAGATAAATCTTGATGCAAAAAATGCATCCAAAGACGTCCTTCGCTTTCCTCAACGGAGCATGGGCAGCTACTCCTCTGTAGCCACGATTTTATCATCTCAAAACAAGGGCAGGACACCCTGGGCTCCTGGTCATCTCATGTCGGTTGAGAAAAGCACGCAACTTTGACACGCGTTTGGAAGCGGGCAGAGCAGACCTACCCGACGGCGTCGGGATTACGCGCGCGCGGTCACCGGGTCGAGCCGCGGCGGCGAGAGGGCGCGCTCCGCCCGCTCCCTGCAAGGCCTCGGGGTCCCGCGCCTTCCTCCCCGGATCCGCACAGCGGGGACAGGGCGAAGGCTGCAGGGCTAGGTACCCGGGACCCAGCCCCGGGAGCCGGCCGGGCCGCAGCCCCTCTGGCGGGTCTCCCTCTTGCCCCTGCCAGCCTGGGGACTCGGGCGGTGTCCCTTGCCCGGGTAGCGTCTCCCCTTCCCTCGATCCTCCGAGCCGCTGCCCAGCGGTGCGGTCCCCTTCCATCCAGCTCGCAGGCGCGCGGGAGGCAGGTCGCTGGCCCATTTAGCAAAGAGGAAGCGGCGGCTGGGACGCCGAGGAAGCAGGCCAAGGTCACCCGGCAGGACGGCGGCTCCCCGCCCGGTTGCTGCTTCTGTGAATGTGAATGGAGCTAAGCGCTCCTTTCTCCCCGTCAAAGGCCGGCGGGAGAATGAAAATGCGGCCTTTGAGCGCCCTGTGTGGGTCTGCACCTAGACGTACAGAGCCCTGAGCGGCCAAGGTCTCGAGCCTTCCCCGGAGGAAGGGGCAGCTGTGGCGACCCGGGGGGCCGGCCCGCGGTCCTTGAAAACCACTTAAGGAGTAAAAGCCCCCGACAGGGCAAAACGGCCACCCGAAACCTTGGGGGCGCGGAGCCCACTGCGCCCAGGTGCCGCCAGCGGGCAGGACGGCGCCCGGGTCCGCACCGGGTGTCTGGGACGAGCGCGCACCTGGAACTCCCGCGGGTCGGACGGCGCTTTTGTCCAGGCTGGGCTCTAGGGGCCTCGACGCCCAGAGGCAGGGCCGCGACCCCGGGATGCGAGATCCGGCTTTTGCCTGGGGGTGGAAGGGTTACTGGGGGGACCTGGATAATTGCACAACTTTTTGCTCCCAGACCCTGGCAGTCTTGAACGCCCCAGAAAGCGGGCGCCCAGCGTCTCCCAGGGTCCCGGGAAGCGGTGGGAGAGCCGCAGGGTTAAGTGCTGGACTCTGGGGACCGGGGTTGGGGGCAGAGTCGACCGCTGGCCAATGACTGCGGTGGGCGGGGGGAAGACAGACCTGGGACCTGCGTGGGCCGGGCCCTTCCCCACCCTCGCCCTGGGTGCCCGCCCT